TACGATAACTATTTTTTCGGGAAGCCAGTTCAATGTTTTATTGCATGTACCATACGTTTCCCACTTATACGATAACCATTCTTATGGGAAGCCATCTTAATGTCATGATATTTCGTATATCGTGTACGTACTGTGCTGTAAGTCAGTACACCGTATGCTTCCAACTCATACGAAAACCGCTATATTTTAGGACCGTTTTAAAGTACTCTTGAAGTACCTGGTTTTCTTCCGTTAATGTGTTGATGTCCTCCTGTAACCGTCGGTTTTCTCTCAAAGCTGCCTCCCTTCCCCTGGTCATCTCTGACAGTTCATCATCTCTGGCTTCTAGTTGCCTTCTTAGACTCTTCATTTCTCTATCTTTCAATGAGCCTTGCTCAACTGTATGACTAAAACAAACCAGGCATTTCATAAGTGTAGGACAAAGACTGCGCTGATCATGAGTGGTGCTGGTTCGGAGGTTCCTCTAGGGTAGGTCTAGTCGTTGTAAATGATGCATTTGTACATTAAGGAGAGGGGCGCAGAACGGTTGAGATCGTCATTTTGTCCCTTCCCTTAATAAACGGGTTTTGCGGTCTCTCTATTAGTGCATCTCAAAATAACACTGTATAATAATAAAGAGAGAGAAGAAGGACAAGAACGAAGAAAAACAAAGAAAAGGACAAAAGGCAAGTGGAGAGGTCAAAGAAAGCCGAGACGCGGGAGGAAAGAGGAAATGAAGAAGAGATAGGGAAATGGAGAAAGGAAAGGGAAAGCAGAATGAGAAGAAAGAAAGGGAAGGAAAGGGATGAAAAGAGGGAAGAAACGTTAAAGAAGGCCGAGGAGAAGAGAAGTAGAATAAAGAATAGGAGGAAGAGTGGTAGGAGGTGCAGAAGCAAAATACAATATCCATTGAGTAAAATCAAAAATAAGATTAGTTACCCGAGTTGTGCTTCTAGATCATTCATATTAAGTTTTAATTCCTTTTCGGCCTTTTCCTAAGAAAGGAAAAAAAAAAAAAGAAAAAAGAAAAAAAAAAAGAAAAAAATTTATCAATCAATCAATCATAAACAAGTTTTTGACTAAAGAAGCCCTTCACCTCCCCCCTGTGCATCCTCCTTTCACCACCTGACACTCGTTACAAAAAAGAGAATGTTCTTGTTAATATGTTGAATAATATTTTTAAAATAACCTTTTTGATACACAATACTGAGCTCTCTGGCTGCATTGAACCTACACAGTGCACTAACTGACTGCACGGTTTTTCTCACACTAACTGAAAGAATCCTTTACGATTAGCGTGGATTAAAGAATTCACACTTGAGTTGTTTCAGTTTAGTAGATAATGACACGAACCTCTTCACCAGCGATGTAAGTCTTGAGGTAACTTAGAGAATGATTTGCAGCGACCCAAGCCATTATTGGATCCCAAAACTCTCGTCAAAATACTGTGTTTGCTGTAACTAGTACCGAATCTAACCTTACTATTTTTGGCTTTGTATTCAAAAATACTATCAAATAAATACAACTCTTGTTTTTTAAGAAGATGCTGCAAAAACCCGGTAAACGAATTAAAATTATCGCTAGGAAGAATTTAATTCCTGCGATAATCGCAGGAAACTAAGTTGTAAATCCAAGAATGAATCTTATAAGCGTCGTTTATGGAAAAAAGCAAACACGACAAACTACTGGAGATCAACATCTATTATATTGGAGTATTAGCATAAAGAGTGTTGACTTGACTGGGATTGGTGGATGTCAAGAGTGTTTACTTTTCGTAACGAACTCGATGATTCTTCTGTGCGACATGATGACAATAATCACGGTGGGAGTGGGGGAACGGAAAATGTCGCGCAAGTATAATGTTGCAAAAATTAAGATAAACAAATGAGCGATTCCTTACTAGTGTTATTTTAATAGCTTCTAGATTCATGATATCTTCAGTTTTTTCATCCACTTGCTGTTGTAATTCATCTTTTTCTCGATCCATTGATTTAATTGTTGCGCGTAGTTCGGCTAATTCTTCTCTATCTGACGAGTGCTTTCTTTCAAAAGATTCTACAGGTGAAAAACAAAAACGTTTTTCAGTCCTATTACTTCTTGTTATAGAAACCCTAATCTTCGATTCTCCGGGTTGTGTGGCATTTCTCACCTATTCTTTCTTCTAGTCGAACATTTTTCTCCTCACTGGCCTGTAAATCACCCGCAGTGCGAGTAAGCCGCCTTTGGAAGTCCTCAGCCGTTCTCTCAGCTTGTTCACATCGTAATACCTCACGATTAATGTCGGCATCTTTCTCGTAGACCGCGTCTTTTGTCTTAGAAAGCTGAGCAGAAGTCTGCTTGACTTGGTCTTCTAGATTTGATACCATGCTACGTAGAGATGTGACGCGGGAATGGAGTTCGTTACGATCAGTCTCCACCTGAAGTACAAATTACAGTAAACCGTACGTACGTCAGTTGAAGTTACCAAATTGAGAATCAAGGGTGGGGTAGTGCACTCGCTTCTGGGGTCTCGTGTTTGAACCCCGGACTTGCTTCAACATGTGAGTAGAGTGTGCGTTAGGTCTTTCCCTTGATTCGAGGGTCCCTCAGCTCCACGAATGTGTAAATAACGATGTGTGAGTTAGCCGTGCCCCGACATTGATTAGGCCAGAGGTTGTTCCAGGGTATTGATGAAATTTGAAGGTAAACTATAATAATCTATCTGAGGAAGCTTTAAGATTATTACTATTGTTGCAAATGGGTACCGTATTTAATTTGAAAACGATCAAGAAAAATCTCATACTAATGAATATCTGGGATTGTAGCTGTATAGTTTTAGGGTTTGATTGATTGTGAAAATGGGCGTACATCGTTAAAAAAGAGCACTTGAATTTGAATCGAAATTAAATGAGCAATATTAGTTAATTTTATCATTTTCGCAAAACTTACTTTGTCGAGCATATCTTCATAATTTGCTACTTTATCTTCGTATCGTCGTTTTTCCAATTCGCTACTTTCGTTTGCCGCCTAAAATACGAACAGTTAATCAAACATTTACAATTATAACACCTATTTTGAAAGATAGATATTAAAAATGAGAGTGTTTTCTTACCTTGAGTTTGTCTTCGAGATTTTCTATTTGGTTATGAGCCCGTCGTAAATCAGCCACAGCATTATCCCTCTCTGCTTCAACTCGTGACAGTACTGCAGAAGCCGCGCGTGATGGTGACGGGGAGCGCGCTCGCGATACTGATCGGCGTAGCCGTTCAATCTCCACTAATGCCTGTAAATATGATATGAGAAATACCTTAGGGATTGTACATTAGATAATTGGAGGCAAGTTGCATAACCTGAGTATCAGGCCCCCAACCCCTCCCCAGGCACCACAAAGGCCTGATACTCAGGCTAGAGGTTGCAGGGATTTATGTTGCACGATATTCAATTTCTTTTTAACGACCCCTCCGCGCATTTTTTTTTTTGTGTTTGCTCGATATTTCTCTACTGAAAGGAGAGGTCTGTTTTTAAGGGGTGGGTGGGGGATTTGCGCACCCCCCTCCTCAATTATCTGATGGTAACAGCACCAAAGACTGCATCGACAACTAACAACAACATCAACAACAAAAGTCAAAAGGTATGAGATATWAAAAAATTTATTGAGGGTGGAGTTTGCTTGACTCGGTCTGCTTAGTTAGGGCGTCTTTAACATTACACCAACCTGTTCGTAAAGAGTTTGTACATTATCTCTATCTTGCGTCAGCGATTTAACGTTTGCTTGAATCTGTAAGGAAAAAAATAATAACAAAAACTAAACGAAAAACTAAACCACTTAAAGTGAGCTGCGAAAGTATTTGGAGGAAAAAACTACAGCATCAACATGGCTTTCTATCGCAGCCAATGAAAAACATGGCACTCAAATGGATTTCTCACTGGGCCAACGAAAAAGCGAAAAAACGCGGAAACCACCCAATAAAAATGCTTGTATTCCACTTCATTACATTAGTGTTGGATGACGCGCATGTCTTACCTCGGTCAAATGTTTTTCGAATTTTTCCACCATAGATTGAAGTTCATCTCTTTCTCTTCTTAATCTGCTAACCTCATTCTGATTACTTCGAGAATCCTAGGAAAGAAAACATTGGAAATTTTGTTCTAGTGCGCATTATAAAACCTGAAAGAAATTTGGCTACATTATCGGTTTTACAAGTTGTCCTTCGGTTTTGGTGGGAAAAATGCAGGCGCGCGCGCCACGAGTTGAAAATATATTTGGCGCCAAAACTCATATATGTGTTCATCAAACACTGCATGTCTATTTTTTCCATCAATCAGCCTATCGAATCTTTTGAAGTACCTTTTCTCGAGTCGGCGGTGACATTATGCCAGCTTTTTCTCTGACATTTCTTTGAAGTTCGCATTCTCGTTTGTAGAAATCTCTTTCTTCTTCCATTAATTGTAACATACTTTCGAGGTGTGCTTGGGACTATTTCGCACAAGATAAAAAAATAAAAATAAAAATAAAAATCGTAAAAGTAATAATAAAAGGAAAAGGAAAAAGGTACGAATAAACCACTTACAGTTGTTGAAACGTGCTACCAAAAAAAAAAAAAAAAAAGCTTTCGGTTTGAATAATTATTTTAAAAAAATTGAAAAAAATATTTTAATACTTATCAAACCAATGATAAACTCGTTCTATTGATTATTATTTTATTTTTATTTTACTTTATTATTTTACCTTTCCTTTGCTTGCTATCTTGCCTTTCTTCTTACTCGGCGACGAGGGCGCAGTAAGCCGTTTTCTCATCATATCTTGTAGCGAGTCACATTCAGCTTTGTAATAATCGCGTTCTTTCTCTAACGTTTTTACAAGAATTTCTAGCCTCGATGGCGATCTGTCTCTCGCTTTCTTGTTCTTCGTTGATTTCACTAATTTTAATCGTTCAAGKTCCATTACAAGTTCTCTCTCTGAGTTTGATGGAAAGAAAATCCTTCTTACCTTAGGCATAATGTTTTCCCATTTCAATTCAGACCACGTGTTATTTCCTAGAGTATCGTTTCTTTGTTTAACGGTTGCGCACAAGAAAACACACGAATATGGATACAATTCAAACAAAGAATCTTATTCTCAAGAGAAAGACACATTTTCTGAAATGGGAAAACATTACGCCCAAGGTAAAGTATAGGGGTATTTCTTGTTTTGAGTTTCCCAAGTAAAAGTGACAACTATGTATTAAAAAAAAACATGCATGCAAGTTTACAACTTTTTTAAAGAAATGAATCATGCAAAAAAACAACAACAAMAAAAAAAAACAACACCTAAATATCAAAAAGATAAAACTTATTACCATTAATTGTTAGTTGAGCATTTTTCTCTGATATTCTCTTTCTTTCTCTTTCAGATTTGTCCAGCAGTTCTGCAGCACTTCTCCCATCTTGTTCAACTTTTTCAACGAGTACGGCAAGTCGTTCATTTTCCTCTATCAACTTTTGCCTTTCCTGAAAGCACTTTTATTGGTTAGTTCTCTTTGGTAACACCGTGTGGTAGTTGTCAGCGGTTTTAAGTTATGTCAATAAAATATGGAATTCCTGTGGTAAAAGTACAGGAAGCCCAAAGAAATGTGTGCTTCTAATACTGTACTTACCTTTCTAATTTCTTTGATTTCTTGATTTGAGTCATCATATTGTAGTTGAAGATTCTTTATTTCTGCCTGGTGATAAGAAGAAATTGTTAAAATTATTGATTGGGTTGAAAAACAATCTTCTCTAGTAATATGAGGTGGGGCAGCTTGCTTGCATCCGGAATTTTCTTTGTACCAAGAAAATTCCTGATGCAATGCAGGCTAGAGGTGGAGTGTTGGGGACCTAGATACCGGAGGAATTCCCTATGTGCTGCCCTTGTACAAGGAGCAAATTTGCATCATCTTGAATAAACCTTTCTACCTTGGGCATAAAGTTTTCCATTTCATTTTCCATTTCATTTTCCATTCATTTATGAGGATAAGATTCTTTATTTGAGTTGCATCCATATTCATGTGTATTTGTGTGCATAACCATTAAGCAAAGAAATGATACTCTAGGAAATGACAAGTGGTCTGAGGAGGAAAAACACTACTCCCAATGCAAAAATGTCTATTGTACAGCAATGTCACAATTTCATTCCATAATTACAACGTAATATTCTAAATACATACTCTTGCTTCARCAAGTTCAGCTTTTACTAATCCAACATCAACGGTTTTCGATTCTTCTAGTCTTTTAGACATTCTATCTATATTCTTCAATTCCATGAGAAGTTCAGCATTTTTCTCCTCTAAATCTTCAGATTTCTGGGATGTCATAGCCTGTTTGTCTATAGAATCCTTTAGCCTTCTTTCTAAATCACGATTAGCTTGTTGAAGATAATCAACCTTGGAAAATTCAATTAGGAAGAAAATTAAAAATCAACTTCTCATTTTTTAAAGGGTGATGTAGTTTTACTGCAAAATTATCAATATAGACCCCTTGCAGCATGTGAGAATGCAGCTCAATTTGGATGACATAACGATAGGTTTCCAATTCTCATGAGATTGAAATTCTTTTGTTTTGTCCTCCAAATTGAGCTGTTTTGACGTCACAATATGCAAGGGATCTATTCTGTAAACTCAAAAAGACTATGAAATGAGAACAATTAAAAAAATATTAAAAAATCCACTGAAAATACAAATGATAAATTTCCCTTTTTAACTACTTACTTGAACATTGAGATGAGCAACAACTCTATCACTACTGTCAGACTTGACATCTCTGGTAACAGCATCTAGAGGACGCCCTCCGTCTAACTGTCTATTCAATCTGTCGATTTCCTTTTCACGAGACTCAACCTAGGAAATGAACAAAAGCTATCATGTATTTATTCAAAAAATGCTATCTGTAATGAAAGCAAGGTTTTGTTCAATATATATCTTTACACTCAGGAGGTTACAACTGGCAGCTTCAATTCAACTCACAGGAAAAGTCAATATTGTCTCAAACCAGACACTGTRTAATGGGATATGGATCAAAGAACAAAACCTTTAGAAGTTATTCATTGTCTTTGCCAAGCTTTGTTTTCACAAGACAATTCAAGGCTCTTTTGGTTGAAGCCTAGAGAGTTATAGCTGCCACTACATTATTCATGCAAGTATGCCCAAATTTATCATGTAAATAACAGCTATCAAGAAATATTAAAACTTTCTTTTCATATATTTCTGAATATTGATTAACACTGATCTTAACTGAAACATAAAATATTACTTTTTTTACAGACTTTATTTCATATACTAAGTGAATATTTTTTGAATGAAATTAATATCTTTTCTTGTTTGATGGCAAGAAAAGAAAACCATTCAACTAGAAATTCAAAAAGTTTTCTTTAATGTTAACACAATACCTCTCTTATGTAGTACTTGAACATCTTCAGATTAAAATGATAAGAGAATCAAGAGTTGGAAGAGCAGCAAATTTATTCACCATGCCAAGGCTGAACTATACTACTGAAGAGATTTTTTGTTTTATCATATTTTCCTACTGAATTTCATTAGATGTTTCCTTGATTTATTGTTGAAATGTAAACGTAACCTACTTAGTCAATGTGAAACTAGCCTGTGTCAAGGCAAGGTGTTATGATAACCATCTGAGGAAAATAGATTCAAGCTATTGATAATACAATAGCAAACAAGTACTCAACTTAGCAAATCACCTGAATACATATTCATACCACAATCTCAAAGAACTAGAAATGAATTAAACCTAGTTTCTCAGGGCTTAAATTAGGAAAAAATATAAACAGACAATTACGAAGAGAGGTCTAATAGTGTAAAGGAAGTAAAGAAAATGTGGTAAACAACAATCTAGAAAATGTTTGCTTAATAGCCATCTTATTTTATTTTCACCTGCCATTAATAATCTTTGGACTGCATTTTGGCGATCGGTAGCTGCTATTTTGAGCCCTGCCGACTCACAAAATTTCACTAGTAAGAGTACTATAGATCCATCATAAAAGCCCCCCAAAATGAATATGTTTCAATCTCTTATTTTAAAACCCTCTTTCCAGTATGTTATTAGTAATCTATATCAGAAATAGAAATATCATTTATCTTGTAAACCACTCAAAAATCAACAACCTATTTTGAAAAGTCTACAAAATGACAATAAAACCTTTCCATAACTGTTAAATTGGTTTAGGAAACAGAAATTAATATCTTAAAAAGAAAGTAATTTTTCACCAGCAAAAATTATATATATTTCATATCCCACTAGTAATGTACGAATTTTGAAGTTTAGGTTTGATGACGTTAGAATAAAAAAATAACAGGAAATAACTGAGAGTAAAAAAAAATATAGTGAAAATGGGAAAGCAATTTGTTTCTGTCAAAATTATTTTAAAGTATTTTAAAAAACAAGCATTGATTAAAACATAATTCATATAATTTAGATTTTTGAATATATAAACACATAGAGCATAATATCCAAAAAGATATCTATGCAGTGAGCAGTTTCCATGGTGAAATATCGTTTACAGGTAGGTAGGTCAGGAACAGGTCCATTAGATTCAATCTCCTTAAGCATATACTAATATGCAAACACATTAATTCTCTACCGGTGGTTAAATGAAAAACTGACAGTCAACAAGATTATATTTGGTTAATGCTGAAAAAAATGGAAATCACCTCGTCCAATGATCACATAAGCAGGTGAAAGATTCACTTTACATTTTGGTTGTTTTTTTTTAGGGGGGGAAATCGAGATCAAGACTTGCTCCAAAAGAGGCAGACACAGTATAAAAGAACTCATTCATAAAGCTATCGTCATGACATTAATTAAAATATAAGCTTAAAATGTTAGAACAAGCATAATTTTTTCGTACACTTGACGTAAAAATGACTTAACCTCAGCTGTGCAATTTGTACAATGACTTCTAAGTTCCTCACAAAAGAAATAATCTTATGAACTTAACAATAAAACATGGAATCGAAATAGATAATCCAACATTACTAATAAAACCCAAAGTCCCAGTAGGTCAAGAACGTTTAATACTAGAAGCCGCAAAAACTTCCTCAACAAAACAAAATTCCGGAAGTATAGAATTTACAAGCTTACTTGTTTACGTAATGTCCTATTCCTTCTTTCTCCGGCATCTTTGTCGTCCAAAACTTGAGATAATTTAGCTTCAAGTTCTTCGATTCTTTTATCAGCTACACTGAGAAGATCAGCTACATAAGGATCTTGAGTATCTTGAAGAGAGTTTTCCCTACGATCTTTTGCAGGGGAGACTGTACTCTCGATATCCATTCGTTGGCGCCTAAAAGGAATCTGCTTTCGTCTTCCTCCGGGGGTTTCCACAATTGCATGCAAATTCTTCTCCTGAAGCTCTTGAATTTTATCCGTCTTAGACTTAGCATCCTTTTCGAGAGCTTTCACCTTGTGTACGTATTGAGTATTTAGAAATTTTAAGTCAGCGTTTTCGTGTTCGAGTTTTCGAACAGTCGCCTTCAATTCTCGAATCTTTTCGTCCGATTCCTCGCGTAGTTTAATAAGTTGCAGGTGAATTTCGTTGTTTTCTTTAACGAGTTTAGCATTATCACTTCTATAGGGTTCAACGTGGTCCTCAACAGAAGTTCTACTGCGATCATGTCTGCTTGATTGGAGTTTTAAGTTCTTCAAACTTTCCGTCGTGTGGACCAGATCGCTGAACAACTTCTCCACTAGAGGCACAGATTCGATTCCGAGAGCCTGGCGATATCCCAGCTGATCCAGACGCTTTCTGAGCGTCGTAAACTTTCTCTCGGTCATTTTTCACAATATCTACTTCCAATAATACTTGTCTAATTCATAAATTCTAGAAAAAACATGGTTAAAATCTCCTAAAATTAGGAAAACATGGAAAAAACCGTTAGCTCTTGTGTGCGCTACCATGGACGCTGAAGCAGCGGGACAGACGTCACGCATGCGTCGAATTCAAATTTGCCTCTATTTACCTATGGGGTAGAGAGAAGACAGCCATTGATCAACAAAAAATATTACGGCAAAAATTGTCCGTTACTTCTAAATCCTTTATCGACAGATGTAATAAATAGTCGGATAAATATCCTTTGGCTTGGAAGATTGGAAGAATGTTGTCTGTATTTGTTTTGGATGATCTTTTAATCTTGATTTCCCCACCCCTACCCTAGACAGCATGTTTTGGACAACTAAATTTTTTAAAGGTACTAGACCCTTCTTGGCTGCATGGAATTACTGAAAATTTTCTTTTGATGAATTTCTGTTAGATTTTTCACATTGTTTCAAAATCATTTCAAACTCATCTCCATAGTTTTTTCTTTTACCAAACCCTTGGAACTTACAGTCCTATTTGGACTGCTACATTCTATTACAGTGGTCCAGCTCTTACTAACAGTAATGTCGCACCCCCTAACAAAAGCTGTTGAGATTGGCCAAAACAAACAATAGTTTCATTACCTACTGGTTCAATTGTTTTGCTTTATATTTTTTCTTGTTCTATTGTATTCATCAGAAGGAAACCTTCGTGAAAGACTTTAAGGACGGCTGTGTAGTATGCACAGAATCGAAATATGGCAGCCATTTGAAGAACTATTGTTCCGAACTGACTTGCTTCCTGTTTTGTGTTTCCACATGTATCAGAGGTTAAGTCTGTCCAGAAAAATAGTTCTTCAAATTGGTTGCCATATTTGGTTTTGGTGTAAAGAAGGCTAGCCTAACCCTAGAACCTAGAACCTTTCCTTATCAAACCTCTACTCATCTTCTCTGGAAATGCCCATCCCTCTGTTCAAAGATGCTTTGGACTGAATTCTTTCTCCTCAAAGTTGTATCTTCCATACATTGTTCCATTGAAGATAATGGACTCTTCTTAGAATTGTCTTAAATGCGAGGCTTACATGGAAATACAAAAGAAATGCCACACATTTTATTGAGAGAGTGTTATTTTGTATTTCCATGTTAGCCTCAAATTCATGACAAACTTAATAAGGGTCGCTTAGATAGATTTCACCTCCCAAAGTATGCTGTTCTCTGTATTATGTTCACTCCATAAAAAAAAACTCCCACTGGAGACGAGACAAGAGAAGACTTGGGGCAAGTCTAACCCAAACAAAAATTCTTTCCTCCTAGTAAACACATAACAATCGTCACAGCCTTGCATGTACATATACACTGATCATTTATTTTTATTATGAACATGAATATAATACAGATATATTAAAGTTTCTAAACTGAACTAAAACCAAGTATGTTTGCTGAAAATTGTCCAGGATAGTCCATGCATGAAGCCACTGGCCACTCAATCCTTTGACAGCTCCATTTGGGAGGGGGGGCTACTTATCCCTGCTTGTTGCAGAGAGCACAGGGAGCCCAAAAAGTGAGCTAGCTTCTAAACTATTTTGAATGACAATATTAAAAGAAGAAATACACACACACACACACACACACACATATATATAGAGAGAAGTTACTTTTAACACATCTAAAATCAACTGTACGTTTTGTATCAGTATAAATAGAGACTACATTTAATATTACTCATAAAAATGTACAAGATTTCACATAACATTACTAGTTTAGTACAATAAGATAGATAAACAATGGTCACCGTTTTCTTTGACAGAAATGCCAAGTAAATGTGACTGTATTGTCATTGCACCTAAAATACTCCATTTTACAGTTCTGTTCAGTGAACATGAATAACAGCTGCAAGTCGAGGTTGGAGTTGACAGCATGATAAAAAGTATAGTTTTGCTATGCACAGAAACTCCAGCCTCAACTTGGAACTATTATTCCTGGTCACTGAATGAAACTGTAAAATGGAGTATTGAACTATACCACTGTTACTACCTTGCAAAAAACCATGCAGTTTTGAAGCCTAAGCTAAAAAGGCAGAAGCCTGAGAAAACAGTAACTGTTGTCCTTTTGCTTGCTCTCCAGGTTTTCCATTGAGAGACACAGAGAGCAAGCGAAAGGATGAATGCTTTCTCAACCTAACACAGTAGTGGATGAGAAGCACAATTTGAGACTGAAACCTTGGATTGACCATTGTCAAGAGGCCACAGGCTGGTATCTGAGCAAGGGAATCTACATTTGACTCACCATGAAACACACAGATTTAAAAAAACTCACTCCAAAACAAGTTTAGAAAAATCTCAGTCAAATCTTCACTGTAATGGGTTATCATAAATTTAAAGTACAAATAAATGAAAATATGAATACAGATAGGACAAGAAAATTAAGAGCAAATCTAGAATAGTGGAATGCTAATGGTAAAGACGAGGACAAGTAGTAAAACTAATTATTAATAAGTTGTGCAAATTTCTGTTTTCTATTTGTAAACAGTGCTATTTTACTCAATGGTTAATGGTTCATAACATTAACTGCTCCTTCAAAGTACTAGGGGCAGAAGAAGTTTAGATGATATAAATGTTTTCCCTTCACCTTTGTTACTCTAATATATATAATGCATATTTATGTTGTTTGATGATTATGATTTTACCAGAGTATATAAAACGATGTTTTACTTCCCTCCATGAAATGGCATTTTGATGGACACTAATACCACTACCGGTATGTTTAGTTTTTCTAAATTAAATAGATAATGGTAGCTTCTGTTTCATGGAGGGAAGAAGAGTGATTTCATCTGTGCAATAAAATGAAAAACTCTGAAATAAAATGGAAAACACTCTTACAGTGAAGGCATTTAGCCCGTGAAATAAAAAATGTTAGTCGACATGTAAAACGTCAAGTAGACACAAAAGAAAACGATGGAATTAGGGTCTACTAATGTGCATTGGTGTTATATCTATTTCACAGGTTTAGTGACTTCACTCTAAGATAAAAATAATGCTTATTAATGTCTATTAGATCCATAAGTTTTGGAATAATAGAAGGTCATGGTAGTTTAATCCAGAGAATCTTGCTTAGTTTAATAGAGCATTCTCCAATCTCTGACCAACAATAAATGAAACCCCTTAATATCTATCAGTATCTTATAGGATAAACAGAATCGCTTTGCATAGTTAAATTATTTATACAAATACTGTTGTATGTAACAACAGATTTGACATAAGGACGTTTTACAGCCCTACAGTAGTACATGGAAGAACTACACCTAGTGATACAGGGGTATAGCCATGGGGGCCAACAGGACCCACCCCCTCGCATCCTCACCCTGTATAAACCTTAACATCTATGTAGTCACATGACAAGTTCGACTTACCAATATTCTGAAAATAGTTTTTGCCTCCCTCCCCTCCCAAGGCAAAATCCTGGCTACACTCCTGTGATAGAGTATGAAATCGTTGAACAAGATAATGAATAAACGATCCAAGGCGGATCACTAGGTGAGTCTACTCCATCACCACAAAGTTTAACAAAAATAAAAGTTTTTTAAATAATGGCCAACAAAAATACACAATTTTTGAAAAGAAAATAAATATGAAAAAATGTTTTGTTAAGATTTGTTGTAATTTTTTTAGAGAAACATAAGTTATTATTAAATGACACTAAATAAATGAGTTGGAAGTCTTTTCATTTTTATATATACACAAAACCTGAATAACTATTTCCTGAACCTTACTATCACTCTATGCACTACAATTAGAAATTAAGCTATTCTAAATAAAAATGAACGAATTAAATGTCTGAAAAGATTGATTAAAAAACTTATACAAAGGTATGTATGTACTGTATTTCATAATACGATGTCTTTGTATGGTTGAGTTTTGAAGTTATATTAAACAAACACCAAATTATACTAATGGTGCTAAAAATGACAAACATTGAGCAATGTTTGACTGTGGTTACCCTGTTACCAGCGGCAAAGACTGAATCCTAGGGCTGGTATTGTTTAGTATCTCAGCGTCAGTTCAAAGTGACCAAGTTGGTTATCAAAATCAAGGTTGATAATGAAGTCATCCTCATCTACAAACATTTCAATCATGCGATCTTCCATGTTTACTAGAATTCTAGAAAATAAAAGTTGCATTTGAGTTTATTGTATGCAATCTAGAACCAGTAAGCACATTTTTATAAGAATTTGTTGGATTTTTTGTCTAGAACTTTTATCTAAATTGGGCTTCTTGTCATATGAATAACATAATCAAAAGCAGAATGATAAAACAAATAAACCTATATTACAGCCTGTTTCATGTTTCTGCCACCTAACTGACTCTACAGATATTTRGAACCTTTTGGTACTGCCAATCAAATTTATCATCGACTGAGTGCATTCCGATTGTGAGGAATAAATATTTTCCAATGGGAAAATTGCTTTCAAGTTGAGGGATATTTACTGATCGTGATAGGAATGCACTCAGCCCATGATAAGTTTGATTGGCAGGAGCCGAAATGCCAAACAGTTCAAAATGTCTGGAGTTGGTAAGTAAATGTGATGGAATTTTCAAAGTTTCTCATACCCTTTCTTGGTTTTCTTGTACACGCTTTTGATCATGTCTGGAGGCATGTTGTATTTGTCTGCAATCTAAAGCATAATACAACAAGATAAGTTAACTTGGTAACATAATATTGTATTTTTTAATGGGAATCATTTAAATGTGCAAGAGAGAACATTAAGTCTTTAAGAGATAATGTGAGAACAAGAATCTACCTGGTTGACCAGTTCTTTGACTGTCAGCTGTTTTAGCATCAGTGCATTATAAACTTTTTCTTCGTCCTTCTTCACGTAGATTGTAACCGCTTAAAATCAGAATGAAAAAGTCACTAAAAAATAATAAATTAATATTTGACTTATTATTGTCCTATTTCATTATGACGTCACATCGAAACAAACAATTGTATTGACACTAGGGATCATGGTTGCTGGAGGGGAATGACAACAACACATCGTAAATCATAATGAAATTTGGTTTATGAGCTGGTGAACACAAGAAAAACTAAATATTATGCTAAATGTCTCGAAAGAACAGAATTAAGCTCAAATCTAGCCTTTCTATCAGTTTAGCTGATGTAAAACAAACTGTGACATCACTATGAAATAGGGCAATAATGGGTGTTTGGAAAAGAAAAGCAAGTAATGATGGGACTGCTGAGACAATACCTGGTCTATCAAGTCTGTGGACTCGTTGGACTTTCATCCGTGGTACCACCTCCAGATCAGCCAATTCCTCCTGAGCGATAAATTGACAAATAAAATGTCAGAGAACAAATGCAGGAACATCTAGAGACTGACATCCTCTATTCCTTATTGAAATGGTCTGACCCTTATAATAACAAAGAATCAAACCAAACATCAATGTTAGTGGACCCTGAAACATTCTCTGGGCTGATCTACTGTTTTTAAGTCAGGGCATGGCTACAACTCACAGATTGAGTCCTGAAACAACTGCTGAGCTGATCAAAGTCAGGGCATGATTATATCTTACAGATCAAGCCCTGAAACAACTTTTGAGCTGAACTAAGTCAGGGCATGGCTATATCTTACAGATCAAACCCTGAAACAACTGCTGAGCTGATCTAAGTCAGGGCATGGCTATAACTTACAGATCAAGCCTTGCTGATCAAAGTCAGGGCATGGTTATAACTCACAGATCAAGCCCTGAAACAACTGCTGAGCTGAACTAAGTCAGAGTACAGCCAAAATACAGATCAAACTGGAAGTAAGTTAGTAACGCCTAGTGTAGCAATGAGATAAGCGCACTACTATCACTGCACCAGCCTTGATTCCAGGACCAGATAAATATTTACCAAAATTCAGAATGCAATGAGCTAAACAAAATGAACACTTTTTGACTTTCCCAGGACATAATTTTACAGTCGTTTGCAACTGGGCGTGAACACCAGACATCAAAATATGTTTTAACTGTCCCCTGAAAAACTTTTACGCTTTTTGGCTAAAATATTGAAAAAGTGGTCTTGTTTGAAATTGACAAACGTTGACGTTTTGGTCAACAAACATACAAATTTCAGGAGCCAGTTACAACAAGTTTCGATGTCTGGTGTTTAGGCCTGGATGCAAACAATGGATTACCTTAGCAACAGCGAGAGCTGTTTGGATTGTCCTCTTGTGTTCTCTTTCTCTGTTGGTGAGATAAAGAAAGGAAACATTAATTTTTCATTACGAATAAATACAGAGAATGTTATTTGGCAACTCAAAATTTTTAACTAGTCGATTCTAGTAAATAAATTTTTGGTATCAATGGGCTACCTGCATTTGCATCTGGGCATGAATGCATCAGGTATTGAAACATGTAGCATTCTAGCTAGCTCCTGAAAGTTGTCTTTTTCTCGGCAAAAACATCATCAATGTTTGTCGATTTGCAATGAAAGTGATGCTTTAGCTGACAAACAAACAAGTCTCAGGAGCCAGTAAGAACATGTTTTGATGTCTGATGTTTGCATCTAAATGCAATGATAGTACTTCGCATTGTGGCCAGCCCTAATGAAGGGCACTTCTGCAATACTGTATTCATTTCATCATGGTGACAGCACAGTGACACAAAACTCAACTCAGTGATTTGTATTGAGAGAGGAAAGTTAGACATCAAGAGAAAAAAACTTAAAGAAATAGCACAAGACCAAGCAAACCCTGCTCATATGTTAGACTCAAACCAAGGGTTGAAAAACAGTGGTATTATTTACCTTATGGTTGCTAATAGTGATGATGTCTGGATGACAGGGTCTCCAGAGGGTAGGATATTCTAAAGCACAAAAAAGAAAACCAAGTTTATTTTATTCATTTTTCAATACATGATGCAGTAATCATGATTAGGGCAATTCCCTTTCAAAATAATACTTGCTCCACCTTGCATGACAAGGGCTGTCAAAAGATATTCTGTCTCAAACATTTTCTTCACCAAAAGTGAGGATAATGAAAGATAATCATGTACCAGGACTCAGATTTACAAATTCTACAGCAACGCCCTGGTGAGGTATGTATCTATTAGGCATAAGAATTGGCAGTCTGATTCTTGCTTTGCTTTCCTTTCCTTCAAGTAGACCACTTACACCACCTTGGCTTCTACCTCATGGCAAACTGAAACGTTGGCCATTAAGTCAAAACTGCATTTTAAAATGGTAAGAAGTAATGACATGTGTCCTGTTTGGTTCTAGTCAAGGGGCAATATTGTTATATCATTACTTACCCCTGGTGTCCCCAAGACAGGGGTAAACAGCACAGGCTTGGGTCCCAAGGGCGTGGTTGCCAGTAACTGGGTGAATTTACTGGGTGGGTGAAACAGGTGCGTAGGAGAAATCATTGAGGATTCTAAAAAAAATAGATCATTGAAGATTCATTTACTAAGTAATATCACAGTACAAGCGTAATGTGCTTTCAGGAAATATTTATGGCCCTCCCACCATAAAGTGTGGTTAGCCCCCTATTGAAGATGTTCTGTGGAAAATTATCCCCTCCAAAGACCCTACTAAGTCATTTGAATCAATGTAGTTTAGTCAATGTACTGTGACTACCTGAGCCAATGGGGTTTTGTTTCATCCATTTTTGCATTCGCCTCTCAGCTGATCTGGATTCATCTTTATTCTTTCTCTCTGCACCCTGAGAAGTAAGAGAATTTGAATTAATATACCTGATGCAAAAGCTTTAATTTTATAAAATCCCAGGCATCTGGCATTAGTTTGGTTGCATAATTTTGAAAAGGGTTATAAGAATTTGATTTTTTTCTTTTTAAACTGACAGAAAATTCTTGCATATTTTATTGTTATTTTATCTTGTTAACAGTGGAAATATTTACCTTATCGCGAAATACTTTTATTTGACAGAATGCTCTATGGACAGGCTCAGCATCCGACGACTCAGGATCCTCATAAGTATCAATTTGAAGGTGAAGAGGAATACCCTGCAAACAGCAAAAAACAAAGTACATATTAATTACATATGCCCCATTCACACTGAGTGTAAAACCTTACCTAAAGCTGGTTTTTTTTTTCAAATTAAATGAGTTTAAAAATTAGGTTACAAATACATTTATATTATCTTTTTTTTAAAATTTAAACATTAATTTATTCAGTACATTAATTAAGAGCGAAGGCACTAATCTAGGGGGTCTAAGTACAACTTTTATACCATGAATGTGAGAATGGAATAATATAGTACAAAATTACAAAAAAAGTATGTTAAGTTTTTTTAGCAAGATACTTATTTTTTTCAAATAAAGAAGAAAATAAATTTTTACCTTTACTCCTTTCTGAGGTGAAAAGTCTGTACTCAAACAGTTTATGCGGAGAACTATCTTTGCATTAACATGAGGACTCCAAACAAACCCTGCTGCATTGTATGATAAGTCATCAATGTTCTCATCAATGTTCTGACATGACTTGCGATCTGTAAATAAATAAATGTATATAGTCAGAAGGGTTGAATATTAATAATCACTATTCATTTATTAACTTAAAAAAATAATTTGAATTAATTGTCTCACAATACAGCAAAGGGAAACACTATAATATTTGTTATAATAAAAACATTCAAAAAAATCTTGACATATTTTACACTCAAATACAGATGGATGCTGAAAGATTAACAATAACAATTAGCAATCTTAAGAGAGAGAGGGAATAAGAGAGAGAATGAATAAATGACAAGGAAAGAGAGAGAAAGAAAGAAAGAGGGAGAAAATGAAAGAAAGAAAGAGAGAGAATGAATAAATGAGAAGGAAAGAGTGAGAAAGAAAGAAAAAAAACAAACAAACAAAACAAAAAAGAAACAAGCAAACAAACAAACAATAAGAATAAACAACAATACTTACCAACATCAAAAGCCCTTTGCTGTGGGTTTGGTTGTTGACTGTGCCAATAATGCCAGTGTTCTAACTCTGTCCTAGGATCTTTCTCATCCCGAAATACAAGGTGAATTACTGACTAGAATAAGAAAAACATATAAAATTTAATATAGAATAATACATGTGCGTGCAGCAATCACCTGTGTATTTTTACTAATACCAAATAACCTCAAATAAAAAAAACATCAATCTGCCGAGGCTTCATTGTAATAAACAATACAATGAAAATATGAAGCAATAATTATTCTAGGACTAGTGTTTACATAAAAGTAGTATGACCTTGGTGCTATGCTAGGGACAGTGTTTTGTTTTTCTCCTTCTCCATGGGACAAAAAAAAAACATCCATCCTTGGCACTAAACATCATGTTAAATCTCATACCAATCCAAGAAGTTCTGAACACATCACAAAAGTCGCAACATAGAAAGTTCATAATCTCCAATGACTTGTGATGCTTAGACATCGTTAATATTCAGTGATAATACTGTACTGGGCCAAAAACCTCAAGCTTGCACATACCCTAGGAATCTATAATCTATAATCCTGTTATGATATTGAACCCTGTGGAACCCTGGATTATCCAGATTAGGAAAGATTAGCCTACTCTACAGAACTGCTTGATAAGAGGTTTCTTAAAAATGTTTTTTGGAATAACATCAAAAATAATACTGAAAAAATATTACACCCACCCCTCCTCAAATGGAACCCTGGTAATCTTTATACCCTGACCTGCACCCCACCTCATAAACAATGTACTAGAGTATACTCTCACACTCTTTATAACCCTTAGAAAATGTAATTTCTTTCTGTGTAGGCAGAGATATTTTAATTTTTAAAAAAAGAGTTAAAGGGTTTAACTCTTGTGCTTCAAGGGTTTTCTGGGTTCACTGGTTCTCCTCCCAYGAAAATCAATTCCTAAATTCCAATTGGAATTCAGAGGATGAAAAGCCACTTTGTGGAAATGCCACTGTTAAGTCCCATTTCTATATTTTATTTATTTTATACAACATATCCAAATATGGCTACCAATTTGTAAAACTATTGTCCTAGCGACTGACTAGCCTTGTGTTCATGTGGAAACATAAAAGCCTTCTCACATATTATATGAGAGGCTAGTCAGTGCAGAACTATAGTTATTCAAATTGGGCACCATATTTCGATGGGTATGTAGTTCTGTCTTATGATAAACAGCAATACAGTACACATGGTTAGCTCAGTTATAAAAGCATCTAAATCTAAAATCTATCAGTTTTCTCTGTAATCACAGAGTGGGACAATCACGAACAGAACCCTCAGATCCATGCTAGGTGAAAGCCCAAGATCAAATTGGAATTTAGAAGTTGGTTTTTGCGGAGGGAGGAAAAACGGAGAACCCGGAAAACCCTTGAAGCACAGGAGAGAACCAACAAACAACTCTACTCACATACAACATCGGGCTCATAGGGACTCGAACCYGGGTCGCATTGGTGAGAGGCGGCACTGAAGGTTGTACAGGAGGTTGTGGTTTAAGCCTCGGCTGGACCAACACTCATGGTATTGAAATAACTAAGTAGAAAGTGCTGCCTTTGTAATTACATCTGAAAATGGTTAGACCTTCATGTGGCTCAGATAACCACATCAATGGCGTTCCAGTCCACCATTTACTAGAGACATTAAACTAAAGAGTTAACTAGAGACGTTAAAGGAGGACCACGAGTTTAACAGTTGAATTACTGTCAAGTGTTATCCTCTATAACTAAATAATTATATTTTTTAATGTATGGCATTAGACACTAACCTTGACCCTTAAGATATCACCCTCAGAAACTGGTGGATCAACATTCCCTTCAAAGTTTATAGCATAGAACTGGCCTAAGAGAAGAAAATGCTATAATTAAATGTATTACCAGGAATGCAAGGAAAAAGAGAGTGAGTGAGGGAGTAAGGGGTGAATGTATGGAGGGATGGATGGAGGGATGGATGGAGGGAGGGATGGAGGGAGGGAGGGATGGAGGGATGGAGGGAGGGAGGGAGAGGGAGAGAGAGGATGTAGGATTACGAGTGCCAACAAACCAACTAAAAAAATTTAGAAACAAGTTTTAAAATAATGCCCAATCAGTCTCTCGTCATGATCACTGAACAAATTAGTTTTTGATCAGTCATACTTTATTTCTGATGAAACATTACTGGTCAAAATGACCAGCAAGGCAAAGATTTGACCGGACAAGTCCCAGTTCTGGCCATACATTGTCAAATGTCCATTTGTTATTTTAAGCCCTAAGAAAGGAATTCTGTATTGCAGTATCTCAGGTTAACTCGGCTGATTTTAGTACCAACCTTTGTTAACATAAGTCAGAGAGTCATCTCCTCTCCTCTGTATAATGGATGTTGGTGCTTCAAGAACATAAGTATACCTGAGGAAGAAAAAAAACCAATCAATTACTGATTTCCTGAACTGTTAAAAACACCAGTAACAATTATACAAGCATGCATAAAATAATTATTACCGGCGTTTGCATTGCTACGCGGCCACCCCAGACTAAAATCGCGACATGCACTTTGCAATAGACTGCCGTCAATCAAACACATTGACGCCATTTACACACGTGTGTGATTCAAAAGGCGCCAAAACTTGTAGATTGTTTACAAGTATTATGAGCCACACTCACCGGGCCTATCCGGGGCCGATCCAAACGCATGTAAATGACGTCAACTTGTTTGTTTGACGGCAGTCTATTGCAAAGTGCACGTCGCGATTTTTGGCTAGGGTGGCCGCGTAGCAATGCAAATGCTGGTAATTTGCCTTTAAGTTTATAAAAAAATTGTATTAAAGTGAGGTTTTTAAGATTGAAACAGTTACTATAATGTAAAATAACTGGCCATCTTGAGACCAAACTCATAATTCCAAATATGGTGTCAAAACTTATAATTCGTACAATTGTTACGGTTCGGAAAAACACGTAGAACCCAGCGAGTTGTTTTGAAACTATTTTAATTGACCTCAAACTGGTTAGATACAAAACTTAGGGCTAACCTAACCAAACTCTAACCTAGTTATACTAAACTAATCTTAGCTTGCCTGGAGAATTCCAGTGTTTGCTTGTCTTAGTCTTGGTGTTACTCTTCAACTGAACTATGACTACACTAAGATCGAACTGGGAACCAAACTCGGAGCTACGAGAGTTCCTTACGTATGTTTTTACAGACTTTCCAGAACATTCTAGCATTTACTAACATTACGTAATTCCTATTTTTAACTACTCTAGAATATTTAGACTTGTCTTTCTAGAGCGTTCTACACTAACTCTAAGTACTTTACAGTAAATGGAAATTTCTAGAACTTTCCTTATATTTTCCTAAATATTACAAAGAACCTTCTAGATTTTTCTAAAGAAAACTAAACGTGAGAACAGGCATGTCAGCCCTCATAACACATTTAAATTATCTGGAGCATGGTCATATTGTTACATATTTCAACTCTCTTAAATAAGTTTCTGCTATAGAGTGAAGTCGCTAAACCTGTGAAATAGACATTTAGACTAATTCACTTTAGCAGATCCTAATTCTATTGTTTTCTTTTGTGTCTATTTGACCATTACACTTTGGCTAGTATTTTTTGATATCCACTCTATATTTTGATCAAGTTGAATACTTTATTATAAGGGTATTATTACATACATGGTACTCAACTTACTTCTATCATATCAATCATGTATACTTTACACACTGATCAAGCTCAAACTAATTTACTTGCTTGTTTTCATAATATTTAATACATTACGCATAGTTGATTGCCTTTATGTCTCTGGTTAGCTAGAACATAGTCCATAATAATTTTATTTCTTACTTGTCTTGAGCCGAGAAAACTGTTGGTGTTGCCTTGAAAGCAGCAGCGTATGGGCCAAAGTTGTAAGCCTATTGACATAAAAGATTGAAATAAAATATAATCATAAAGATATGCATCAACAGGGGCATAGGCAGTTCGTGGGCCTGGGGGTGGGGGGTCTGCTTTTCTTCACACCTCAGAAGTGAGGCTAAGTCTGCATACACTGGTATTTTAAGAATCATCAATATCATTCAATTTTGGCCAATTTTTTTAAGAATCGCAATATTGCAAAGATATTTGCACCAGTGTATGGTAAATTTGCATCACGCTCCACAACTATTTGGTTGGACCTTATTAAATTTCTAAAAACAAATTTTGGTCATGCCTACCTCTGGAGGAGTCTGGCTCAGAGAAATAGATGAGACATCTGACACAGACGCAGGTGATTTGCTGTTGGAGGAACCAGGTGGAAATGAAATTGGTTGTGATACAATGGCTCGACTGGGCTGGCTGCTGCTTTCAAATAAAATACTTTTATTTAAAATCYTATAGGATTTTTGCTGGAATTTATACTAATCTACAATTGGACTTTAAAATTGTAGCTTAATAATTAAATATTAAATAAATAATTATTATTTTCGACTATATTTCGTGAACTTTGTTTTTGCATGATTTCATTAAAGACAATTAAATGAATTTAATGAAGCTCTAGAGTGGAAATGTTGTATATCTTATCTATTTAACCTTTTTTCAAGTTTTATTATGTTCCCAAATTTATTACTACAATATTCAATAGTCAGATTGTTTTCTAAATATCTCCTTAATAACATTCTAAAACAATTATTAAATAAAATATTACATAATATTATTATAATATTATAATATCCAATTTAATTCTGATTATTTAATAAAGATGGTTTGTTTACCTTGGTAAGCTTTTTGTGTGCTGTATGACTTGGCCTCCCTGAGTACAATAAAATAATTTCACTTTCAATAAATCTTCATTCATATACATATCATTCAAACATTTAGTATAATTTTAGCATTGAATATACAGTTTCACTTTGATTGGGTGAGCAACCAGTGATTATGAGAAAGTTTACCAAAGTGGAAGTATGTAATACTAAAACGTTTTTTTTAAAACCTGAATTATTCACCTTGCGCTCAGTGATTATATGGCGAATATTAACCTAGCTGCTCGAAGACTTGTGGCTCAGTAAATATTCACCAATAATCACTTCACTTTCGACAAATAATAGTCCCCTTCACGGTTCCCTGCGCCATCTTGAAAGGTAGCCATTCCTTTGCATTGAAGCGAGACGAATGGTGAGCTTGCAATGTTAGAGACCTTTTTTAACACCCTGGACAATTATTCACATGTCTCTATCACCACAAGCTCACCGTTCATCTCGCTTCGATGCAAAGGCACGGCTATACCTTTCAAGGTGGCGCAGGGAACTGTAAATGAGACTATTGTTAAATGATACGGTACAAACCTGTGCACATTTGTCTCTTGGAGCTTCTGACTTTAATATTGGTCCTGAATCAGAAGAAGTCGAAGCACTACATAGAAACAGAACAGGTGTTAAAATATAGTTAGAGCCTGATACTACAGATATACAGGTACTTGGTGACCAGTTCTGTGGCCAAAAGATGACATAAATGTTGTTACTCCTTCAATGGGGAGGTTTCTTTAAGGGTATTCATTAAGTTTTAAAATAATAGGAGAAGCTCATACAYGTAATTTGGCTCAGTTACTGAAGCATTCTCCAACCTCTGACCCTTAATAAAAACCCTGCTCTTTGTATGTAATTTAGAAGAAGGGCAAGCTTAGACAATCCAGAGATGACACTAGGAAACAATTGAGATTTCAACTTCTAAATCAAACGGTTCCACCAACATGTACCAGGGCTAAAAATAATAGCTGGTTGACTGATAATGTCTGAACAAAATTCATGGCACCCAAATGTTGCCCCTTAGACTTGTCTTTTTGACTGGTGGCATGACTAGTGATCAGTCCGTTTCTGGCTGATCATCATGTCAGGACATTAAGCAGCTATTATCAAATACCCCTGCGTACCCTGAAGAAAATCAGTCATAGTCTTGACACCTTACCCTTTTGAATTGTTTGACTGTTGGCTCTTGATTTGATGAACAGGATGAAGATAAGTTAAGGGAGACTGAAAATGCATTCAGACAAAATAGATGATTTTAAATTAAAGAAATAAAATGATGGACTGAGTGGGAAATAGAGCAAGACTGATCAAGAAAAATGTAGGTTAGTCCTTTTATACTAACATACACTTTTTCTAAAACAGAAAACATGGTGAATTCTGGTCTAGCTTAGGCACAAAGAAATACCTCCTGAGGCAGTAAAGCTTGCATATGGTTTTAGTTTGTACCCAAGCTAGACCACAATGCACCTGCATCTAATTTAGGACAGGAAAAAACAAGAAATTCTATTTTTAACCCTGTTTTTGTAGCTATTCTCTTCCTTGCGTGCTTTAAAAATCAAGTACAGCTGTATACAAGAACTAGAATCCTGTCTACAACCATAATGGCCTCTCTCACTGTTGCCATGACAACAACAAATCACATCCTTAGGCTATGACATAAAATGACCATTTTTAGACATAGCAATTGAGACTAAAACATCCTGGGTGTTCTAGAAGGCTTTGTGGCACTTGTAATCTACGTAGATTTAAAAGCTTTAGTTCAAGAAAAACCACAAGGGCTCCTAGAATGATTTTTGAAATTAAAAATCATAAAATTAACATCTAAAAAATTTTTTTGAAGAAAGACAGTAAAACCTATTATAGACAGGGTTCTATAAAAATGATGTCCGACCAGAATTAGACCTTGTCTGGTCAAATCTTTGCCTTGCTGGTCATTTTGACAGTTAAAATAATCAGAAGCTCATGAATTTTATCAACCCATAGTAAAATACAGGGTGAAAATTTGGCAATAAGTACTTTAATATAGAGGCTTTTCATCATCATGTGAAGGAGGCAAAATAAGAAAGTCTTTCCTACTAGGAAAATATATTCTTTCTCATGCAAACCAGATTAGACCAGGTTCTATTGCTCCTGCCATCTTGTGATGGTGCAAAGCCTATATCAATGGTATTTTAAATTAAAGCAATTACATACCTCTGTGTGTGTTGGAGAACTGGGCTCAGAGTCGCTGTTATTAGTATGGCTGTTATTTGATTGGTTCGATGGAGAAACAGGAGTAGCCCTAAAAAAATCGACAAAAAATAAACTCTTAAAACTGGTAGCACCTTTAACCTTGTTAGTAACTGGATGTTGCAAAATATCCTAGGATGTTTTTCTTTGCACTATTTTTAGGGAGCATTATGTAATCAAATGAAGAAACCAGCTGTTTAAATCCTTTTCCTGAGAAGTCAACAACATTCTTGCTATTAATCAAGAGAATAATGAGTTATCAGAATTGAGAAAACAGTGGATTAAGTTCTATTGATGATAACCATGACATCAAGGCTGCAATTATGCATTTAAGAGTGAAATATGGTTTGAAGTGATGCCACTATCCTGATAAGTCTGGTTACTATAACTTCTGCATTAAAGTACAGACGTTTATTGCTTAATATCTTAGCCTTACAATAGCAAAAAGGATGCAAGAAAGGATGTCACAATTTCCTCGTAGGTTGATCTGATACATCCTGATGCTAATGCTCTAACTTCTTGCAGAGTAGACTAAATGGAGGGGTGGAAATGAATCATAATGAGAAAAATAAAGGGTGGATGGCATAACTATTAGACCTGGAGCTCATCCTCATGATGTCTTGTTTTTAGGAATTTTGGGGCGGCACATTACTGTAGTTTTCGATATTCTGTGGACTCAGACATTTCAACCACTTGATGTGAAATTGTTTTTTCACTGTTGCCACTCAATAACATAAAAGGTACAGACTGATTATTTTTGATTGATGGCAGTGAAAAAACAAATTTTAGCATGTAGCTTGTAACTACCAAGTTCGCAGAATATTGAAAGGCTCAATAATCTCTTACTCTCATTTCGCATACACTAAAACAACAAACRTCTTTCAAATGTTATCAACTTACAAGTACAAATTACTGCTATGTTCATAATCATGCTAGCTTGGTAATTGTGAGCTGCACGCTGAAATTTGGTTTTTCACTAGCGTCAATCAAACTAATCAGTCGGTATCTTTCATATTTTTGACTGGCAGCAGTGAAAAGCTAAATTTGACAGGCAAATCTCAACTACAGAGTTCGCATGTTCATGAAAACAGCAGTATTTATAAATAGAAATGATATAAACTTCACTTTAATTTTCATGAACCAATGTTATGGGCTATGTCAAGGACAATCTTCGAGTTCACTAGCGAATTTAGAAGTTCCACGAACAAGGAAAATTAATCAAGCTAAAGTATTTAATAACCTTTGTGTTTCTTAATCCCAAAAGCAATAAAAAATCATATCCCATATCATCAAAATTAAACGTTTTCATTCCTAACAAAACTAGATAATATAGTTTGTAATATAACCGTATTCTTTTCAATTGTTTTCATCACAGAAAACAAAACATCTTTTACATTGTTAGTGTGATATTTTTCCTGTGTGACTCATAACATTACGTAATTAAGAATATTAATCTTCGTCATTTTACATAAAGTTGCAGTAATCTTGATGTTAAAGTTTGATATGCATTTTGAAGGCAGCGATGTAACTCCGAGGAAAAATCCTAACGATTAGCTATTAATTTAGCTTATCTTATAATAAATTAAAGAAGCATGTACGTCTTGTATTATGTGTCAGTCTTACCCAGGTGAGGAAGGTTGGTTGGGATCCTCCGTTACTCCATAATAATCGTACAAGAACCCTAAAGTAGAAGCCATGTTAGAATCTTCCCCATTGACTTGTGTGAGTAGAGTAGATGTTAGAGGAGCGTCAGTTTGAGCGAAATACGCTTTCCATGCGCGATCCTCGCGATCGGACGTTTGTTCTGGTTCGCTCGTCGTAGCTTTACTAGTAGATATTACAATCGTCGAGCCACCCTCACTGCTACTCTTTGCTTCCATCCTCTCAGTAGGTATGCCCTTCCTTCGAAACCAAAAAAAACTTGACTTAAAAAAGGCGTTAAAGAGTGGGAAAGAGGAATAGCGCACTCAGCTAATAATTCGCAGAACAGCGAGAAAAAGCACGATATCCTTCAAAAAAAGAATGAGTAGATTGCCGGCTACATACCCCAACAAATTTCTTTTTGTTCAAAGGGATAGTTACTTACTTAATATCTGTCGAGGACATACCAGCAACGGTTAGAAAACAATTAAAAACATGTTTCTTAAAATGTGTACGATTCCGAAAAAGTTTTTCCTCAATGAATAAGTCTATAAATGAAGAAAAAGCCCGTCGTGCGAGACACTACGTTCGGACTGGCACGTACTTGTCGCATCAATCGATAAGTTATCGTTTACCAAATAAAGGCATATTCGGAATAAACCAAAAACTCGGGAAGTTTTCATTTTCCATATATAGGTATACTCGTTGTAAACATAGATTCGGAGAGTGTTCGACGATTTTCGTTTGCTGCAGAAATTCAAATACTGTAAAATGATGTTTACAATTTGCTTGACCTTTCCTTTTATACTTAAAGGCAAACATTTATTTTCCAAAAAAACCTTAAAAAGAAAGAGTAAGTATTTTTTTGTTGCAATTTGGGGGGGGGGGGGGGGGTGAATAGTATTAGTATGATATATAATTTTAAATTGGATGGGAGAAGACTTTACACAAGTGCTGCTGTGAAATTTTTAATAGTGTTGAGGGATTCAATGACTACACCCTTAGCATTGAATCCCTTAATACTAGTAAAAATTCTTATTTTAAGGTCCCAAGTTACTGTAACCATGATCTCTTATCCTAGACTTAAAAATGTGTAGTTCCAGAAAATTTCCATACCCYGACCCATGTGAAAGAAACTGGAAATTCTAGAGTAGAGGGGGGTCAGAGAAAGAACGAAATTACAGAGTTTGTAGAAAAAGTTGGAAGTTCCTGGGGGTACACTTCGTTTGTTGCACACACTTCAACTTTGTCAGCAATTGTGCAGAAGTAGAAAAGATACGTCTCTGACACATTTTTGTGTGTAAGCATGACTATGATTTGCATAACTGCATGAGGGCAAAGCAATAGTTGTTTTACCCTAAAATTTAGATTTGCCACAGATTTGAAGCAACTTTTGCATAAATCATATGTTTGAACCTCTGCCCTTGCTTTTGGGCACATTATGCTTACCAGCATTTTTGTAATTCATGTTTTAGTGTACATTATGAATGCTGATGAATTTTTTTTCTTAATGATTGTACAGGTTATTCTTCATGATTTCCTACCCTTTTGTAGGAGAAGCCAAGTCATTTAATGCAAACATCTCAATGCACAAAACTGCTAGCTCTCATAGTATCCTTTATTTTGATACTGGATTCAGGACCTTGTACTCAGGGCCATAGATTAGACCAGTCAGAGGGCCAGGAAAAATGAAGAAGGTAAGACTAATTTATAAACAAAACTTTTATATATATATTATAACTGCTAAATATGAGAAACATAATTTGTCACACCACGAAACAAAATTTCAAAAGGCATAATGCAACTATTAGTGCAAGGATAATTTGTACTTAATGCTGTGTCACAGGTATATGCCTTGCAATTGCATTTATGAAATTGCATCTCCAAGCTACTGTATAATGAATGGTTGGCTATATAATGCATGGAACTTGCAGTCACTATATATTCAAACAACTTTGTAGTCCAAAGTCCATATGTGAGGCTAAAATAAAACTAAAGCACTACAGCCTTACACTAAACCATACTTATTAGCCATACATAAAATTTAAGTTTTAAAATTTCTTTTTATGAATGTGTCTAGTTCCAGAAAATATCCATATCCCACCCACAGAGTAAATTGGAAATTCTGGAGGTGAGGGGTTAAGAGAAAGAACAAAATTACTGAGTTTGTGGAAGAAAATTGGAAGTTCCTGGGGGTAGGGGGGGGTCTTTTTACAAATTCCATCCATAGCAGTGGTAAGGATATTTTCTGGAACTACACAATGTACTATATGTTAGATACACACAGTTGATGTCATCTACCATGAAATAAGCATTATACCTGGGTTATTATAAAATAATTTGTCAATAATAGTTGTCTGCTGTCAGTAACAGCCAAAAATAGTATTTGAAAAAAAAAAAAAGAAAAAAGCAGAATATAAAATATCATGTATATGATAACTAATTTGAATCAAACTGGCAATGTATAATTAAAATCAAATTGGATATGCAATTAGTAAAGAATTGTCGGGGATTATATAAGAATCATTGATTATTGAACTAGACATTAAAAACCACAAATGAAAGAAAGAATTGGCTCAAATGTCTGATGCCTTTGCAACTTCACCAAAGAACCTGCAACCACTGAGTGTTCAATGATTTCACTCATCGTTTTTGGGACAATCCAATTACAGTCAAACTAAGACGGCTGTGAACTCCTATAATATGTCTGGAATGTTAAACATGTTCTGATCAATTACTTGCAACAGTTAATTAGAAATAAATTCATTCTCACATGCGATTGGTCAGAACATGATACTTACCATTTCAGACATTTTTAGATGTTCACGATTTTCTTAGTTTAACTTACCGTAACCTGATGAAGGCTGTAATGTTCTAGTGCAGAGCTATATAAAATGTGGGTCATTGGACAAAAGCTGGCCAGACTTGGAATTTGTGTTTTCAAATCTTTGCCTTGCTAGTCATTTTGACCAGTAACATTGAACCAAAACAATATCAAGGTGTAGCCAAGCTAAAATTAATTTGGTTGGTCATCATTATCGGTATTGTATATTGTATGACAATAACCTGATTTTGCTTAACACCATATGGGAAATTCTTATATGTTTGCAGCACCGACATAAGCTTTTTAATCAGGGAAGGTACAAAAATCCTGATCAAAGTAACCCATGATTGAATAAATTGATTTGTTCAATATTTTGTTCAAAGAAATTGTTCAAAGAAATTGTTCACAAATATTGTTCACTGCATCCATGATTACATTATAAATCTTGAAAAAAGTGAAATATCAGTTCAGTAGAAGTGAAACTGGAAACAATAAAACCATGAAATGAGGAGATAACGAGAAGCCTGTAGAAGTTGACAAAGCTTTTTCGGCAAATTTCCTGGCCACATTAGAATTGTTGATTCTGGTGTTGTTTGGCCACATGACCATGCAATCTTCACCTGGCTTTCCTGTGGTGTATTTGAAGGAGTAGTTAAAAAGCTTGTTGCAGAACGTCGTTGGGTCGCTGTAGTATTCCTTGAAGGTTTTGCAAGGCTTCTTGCACTCGTTGCCTGACTTGGTCCAGTTCCATGTTTTGATATCTCCCCAGTTATCAGAGCAGGTGTATTCATCCTTACAGGCCTCAAACCATGCATCACAATCCGAAGCACATAATGGAACATTAACGAATCGTTCTCTTCTCGTTTTCTTTGAGTTTGGATCGACCTGAATCCAAGGAGACATGTTGGGTGAGCATTCATAAAAACAAGTATCCATCTCTAGGAATCTTCTGCATTCTTTTGATAGCGGTTTTATATTCGAGCACTGGTCCCATTTCATTCTATACAAGGTGATTGCCCCATCACTTTCGATGTGTTTTGTAGTGTTTGCTTTGCAGCAAGCATTGTCCTTCCACGGGCTACAGTGATGGAAAAAGTCGGGTTCTGGTCCAGGTTTACTCTTATGGTGCTTTGAGTCGATGCAGACATTTAGAAAGTCGTCGATCTGCTGCTTCGACGCAGATAAAGATCCTCCTACTAGAGAGATCAGCACAAGAAACAACAACTTGATCATGGTGAAATACTGTCGAAGTGCCTTAAAAATGGAAAGATTTAACTAACTTGAAAAATGATTGATATGTTATGAAAGTTTAACAGAACTTGCTGTAACAGGACTTCATGATTTGAAGTTTTACAGGCACTACTAAGGTTACTTACACTATACTAGTACATGTACACACTACAGCTACTTTAACACGTGCAACGAGCAAACGGTTCCAGCGAGTACATCATGGAGTTAACCAATCAGATCGCTCGCAGATAAAACCCTTGCCACAGGTAACCCAATTCCTAAAGAAACAGTCTGTCATGACGTAACAGCTGTATCAATAATAAGTGCAAGTTTATAAATATGTACTTAATACCTGGACAGAGGGGGTTTGAAAACTCATTTTTCCCAGACCCTTAGCCAAATCGTAGGCTCTGGGAAACCCTACTGACCAGGTCGTCAGAGCGCATGCTCTATCTCAAAAACTAAACGCCTGCCCTTGGATGACCTTCACATAATCCATAGCTATATAAAAAATCTAGGTTTTGTTAGAAGATTAAATATTGAACAGCAGCACATGTACAATAAAGAATTTATTACAAAATGATTTAATGAATGTATTAAATCAATCAAGTTTGTAAAAACTATATCTGCTTTACTCATGTAATCATACAATACCGGAAGTGATGTAATCAAGGCTCAGTTTCTAATTAAGCTGTCTAAGGTTTTATTTGATTGGTTGAGAGTAGACCCATAGGGCAATCAAGGTCAGCTGGTTTCCTATAAATAATGCCTGTAATTCCTGTCGTTACAAACAGACGCGCGCCACACACAGGAGAAAGAACAAAGGGCCTCATCATAYAGAGAAATGATTGAGTTTTTAGTCCACAATAATGTCAATGGTATTTGCATCACTAAATACGACTGCTCAGCTCCTGACCAAGAATGTTGCATGAATCAATGTGTTGGTGATAACAACTGCTTTGGCATGAAATGCTCACTCGATTCACAATGCGGTTATTCTGAAACCTGTTGCCGAGGCTCATGCACAGGGCACTGCGACATTCCATTGCCTTTGATTCTAGGCTGCGTGATTACGGCTATATTTCTAATTTCTTTGATCGTTGGGGCTGTTTGGCTATACAGAAGACGAACGAGAAGTCATCAGCTCCAACGCAGACCCCTTGTGCCGTACAGCGGTAATTCACGTGCTGCTACGGCAAACCCACGCCACTTTTACTACGGTGGGACTCAACAGCCTCATCTTCTCCCTTGCACGCCTTCCACCACTTACCACCAAGGGAACCCACAATCTATTGATTCCCAATTTGGCCCAGCTTCCACAACATACTTAGTGCCTGATGAGTCACGCCATCCAAGTCAAGAATGTCACACCGTACCTTTGAGAGGTGCTATTGCCATGGCAACTGAGCAGCCTCCACCTTACGCATCATATGAGCAAGTAACAGAAGACAATAAAGAGCAAACAAAATAGTCAAACATAGAAAAGACTGCGCCTCCTGCTCCGTTTCTTGCTGACTGATTGGTTTGGCTTGGAGTGAATCATGTAAGACCTAGCATATTGCCATGCGTTATAACTTGAATGGTTCTAAGAACGATGCATGATATCATAGTCCATATTACAATTAAAGTATTATTGCCATATATTTTATATTGTTTTGTAAACCGGTCACCGACCAACTACCAATGCCAAGGGTAAAAAAAATCCAGGTTTTTATTAATAGATATTAAGAAGTACCGTACTAAAATAAAAGGGGAACAAAAAGGGGATCCCTTACYGTCTCTCTAAACCTTTTTTTCCCCGGATGTACTAACATCTAACTTATGGAAGTTGCCTATAAAATTGTGGCAAATCTGAAGCAGCATTACAGCTATTTCAAAAAAGGTTGGCGAACTTTTGTTTCATGTTGCTTAATAAGCCTCAAGTGCATTATGGTATTCATATATGTAAATGACGTCAGCACAGAGAAGAAAAATTATCGGAGAAACGTTAGACCAAGTTTAGGAAAATTTTATATCGTTGTGACCTTACTCGATTGCATTCATATTGCCCACAGGGCATTTCGGGGTTGGTATGATTTTTTTTTTTGCAACATGCTACATGCAACAACAGATTCACCAACCTTTGAAATAGCTGTGTAATATGTAATGTAGTCAAAGTTGAAAAACCTTTTTTTAAATATAAAATCATCCAATCATAAATGTTTACTGAAGTCAAGAGCTTTTTGAGGGAGACCCGAAGGAACACGCGGGATCTGGGAGCTAATTAAACTGATTTAGAAAATCAGGATGCAAACTATAATCGACCTTCTATTACTCGACCAAAAGGACGATTTATTTCAGTTGAAGAAGTCATTTCATTTGCGCATCACACTGCAACCTGTCCGTGGAATAGTCGCATTGTAGTCTTGTACTAAGTAAACTAAGCAAAATAAAGATATGGTTTTGACTCATGTTTTGAATATTTTTTCATGAATTGATTGATTAAATCGGGACCATACTTCCAGACATCGAGTGCTGAACCGTCGCATGGCAGCGCAAAGCATTTACGGCTATGCCGGAGATTTCGGCCCCGACACCGCTATACAATGACTTTTCAGGAAGCTCGGCCAAAACCTAAGGGAGAGGTTAGTCAGCCTCTAGACCGTAGATGATTAACCCCTTGCTATGAACAGTGGAGATTGATTTTTTTCTTTTAAAAAAAAAATTAATCTAGACATGCGCAAAAGTATTAAAGATACCTGTCTGTGATCTAAAACGAGTATGTAAAGTACAATTATGAAAGAAATTATGAATGCTGATGCTCGTGAACTTAACTGAAAACTGCGTTAAACAAGACATTTTTCCCCATTTATTTCCCACTTTTATTTCGTTTCATTCCATTTTACATTGAACATTTGTCTTAAGCAATATTTCTAAATCCACCATTTCGTATATGTAATAGGACTCCATGCTGTCCAATTAAGAAATAATTGGACGAGGAAAATTCCGAGGGCTGACAAAATTGGATGAGGCCGTAGGCCGAGTCCAATTTCGCAGTGAGAGGAATTTTTCGAGTCTAATTATTTCTTGATTGGGGAGCATGAAATCCCATTACCTATTAATGATATAGCTGCCTAATTAATCCCATATCAACAAGACCTGTCTAATTAAGAAAATAATTGGACAGTTACCTATATGGGATGAATGAGAAGCTGTATAATTATATTGTTAATGTTGTACTATAAATCTGTATCGGCTCTACTAGTCTTATAACCCATGAAGAACCAAGCCGTCATAAACGATCCGTAACTTTCATTTATAACCTAAGAAATATTTTAAAAAGAATTTATTATATAATTTGGTAAATGAAAAAAATACACTGATTTTCTAAACAAATCGACAGTCAATTACTCTGCTAACAGGGTAATAGTCAATATTTTTGAACATACACCCGCTGATCCCCGCTGATCTTTAAATTGTCTTCCAAATTACCAAAACACCCTAACTTATAACAATTGTGTTTATATATGAATATTTACACACACACGCCGCACTAACTAATCTAAAGTGATTTGATCATGTACACCTAGTTGGACTTTTTGTTTTTGTTTTGTGACGTCAAACAGCATGGCGGCGGCGGCCGCACCTTTTCTATTATTCTAGCTTGGGCTCCCTTTGGTTTTGGCAAGGAGCGGTGATTGATGTGTTTTCACTAGTTTCTTTTTCCTCGACTTGAGACTGACGTACGACAGCATTATTTGCATCGACACATAAGATAGTCCCATTACCAATGAAAATAATTTTGTAAATAATGTATATCTAATTTTGATGCCGCTTGACACACCAAAAACCCCAATTCATAAACGTATAGTAAATGGACCCCCAAAAGTCTTTCATCCGTATCGGTTCTCTTCGTGCTTATCTTTTTCAAAAGATAAATCTGACCTCTAGTTGTCACGTGGTACACGAAGCCACGTGTCCCTAAGAGGTCACGTGATGCATCGCCTTACTAGGCACAACGTCACGTGGTAAATTAGGTGCCACGGGACATAGCAGTCACGTGGGTTCATTAGGTCCCATAGCAATGTGACTGAAACAGATCATGTGATCATAACATAGCGCATTCACCCATCATGACCGACTGATAACAAAATAATAATTTTCTAGATTTTTCGATGTAMATAGTCTAAAAATTCCTAAGATAAAATAAAACGCTTCGTATCTATAGCTGATAACGTTACATATTTAATCCCCCTAAAGAATTTCTTTCAAACGAACTTAAAGTCTGTCCTTCCCAAATAAATAAAATCGGACTTTACTTGTAGAAACCAAGAATCGTTGCATCCCTGATGCACTCTCGATACCCACGGCCTATGTCTTTCCAAGAGCATGTTGCGTGATCCTTCCTCATGGCGCAGTAGAGGTTATTCAATCCACAGTAATAGTCCATCATCCCTCCTAGTGGATCCATCCAGCTGCACAGACTGGTCCTGCACGCGCAGTTGCGGCCGTAGTACCTTCTAATCCCAATGCGCTGTCCGGAGCTCAAACTGCCCCACGTCTGGATCCAGTTGCATGAGAATATCTCAAGGTCCTGGCCATCGATGTATCCTCCAAGAACGTAATCTCTGCCTTGTTCAAGCTGCGCAGCGCACGAGTTGTTGTCCGTGTAGATGGCTACTTCCATTGGCAGGGGTACCTTGCCTGGGTAGTCTTTGAGTGGAGTAGTGTTCTTAACCTTGTTCTCTCCTTTGAAGATTCGCTGGATTTGGACGCGGTACACGAGCACACTGCGGGTCCATGAATTCTCGGGATTATCTGGTCGCGGGATTTGAATGGTTTTCGTCACTGGGCCTGACTCCACGAGCCCTCGAAGTACTACAAAAGAGAGAGAAAAAATTAACGCAAGATCAAGACCGGCCACCCATAAAAACTAATAGTTTTCCTTGGAAACGTTCAGTATGAAGTAAAATATATAGGTGGTCTTATTTTGCCGCATGCGTAGACTTGATAGGTCAGACTGAGGATACATAATTCATCTATAATGTTTGTATGTATTTTATCAAAATTTGTGAAATTCAAAAAAGAATTGGCACGTTTGGCAGAACACTGCAGTGGACATATTCTGCTGCGATGCACCGAGGAAGGAAACTTTATTTCGTGTGTCTATTTCTGTAATCTAGTATGTAATCTGTGTTATCTTGCGTTTAAAAATTTGGGGGTGGGGGGGGGGAGGGCAATGATTTAATTTAAAAAAAAAAATATTTTTTAAAAACCTTATTTCATGTGATAGATACAACATCGAAAGGAAAGCTTCGTGTTCAAATCTTCGTCACTGTTAATTGGCCGTTTCAGCGCTGCGGGTGGGGGACGTGGGGTAATTACTTCATTGAATCATACTGTGAATAACCAAACTAATGGGGAAAAAATCTGTAGATACGACGGATCCAGGAAAGCAAAGATTATTCGTGCGGCTCGAAAGCATATTGCCAAAAATTCCTGAGCTTCGGGTACTGATCAATCCGATTAATGTTACTCATCACTACTGAGCGACTGAATGGGTTTAGGGATAAAGAAATCAGGGTTATGATTAAGGGAATAAATATCACTATAATTTTTGTTTTCCATTTTCAGATCACGCGTCATTCCATTGAAAATGAGAGTCTTGTTTTAGCCTTGTCTTGTCAAGCATTACTGGTAAGCGAAAGAAATAATAACTAAGGGAATGAGGTCTATGGGAAATAAATTGCGAAGGAATATGAATGAAATTGCATCGGGGGGGGGGGGGGGGGGGGGGGGGGGGGGGTAGAGTCGATAGAAGGAGTCTCCCAGTGAAATAAGCATTATCAAGCAAAACTCCATGACTCCTCGTACAACACCCTACAAATATAATCCTAGATACACGGGTCTTTGGCTTGCGGCGTGAAGAATTAATGAACGGAAAGTAAAGATTTCCTGTGGTAAAATACTGCGATTGTCGGCACAGAATTTCCGTCATACATGGCTATATCATTCTGGTTAATCAGCGGCGAGTTACAAAATAAATAGACCGTACGTACGTACTGATTAACACAACACTGAGTCTATATAGCGGTCCACACACAAGGCCGCTGTCTAGGCTGTGCGGGATGAATAATGCAAATGAGTCTTATACTTTTTGATTTAGTAGTCAATAGCCTTAGAGAAAGAACGAACTGTTTTGAACTCTCTCCCCGAAATCAGAAAACCTCCTGACTAGCTCCACTTGATACCAAACCGCAAATAACATTCTTGTCGTTTGGCACTTGTCGTATTTTTACTGATCTACCCGCACAGTTATGCGATGTATGGCTAGAGGTTAAATGTCTAGGTAAAAGTCTCTTACTACCACGCAAAATCTAATGATTGAATTCAGTAAGCTCGTACACTTGCCAATAGGCCGACGATAGTAGATACGGAAGGAAGAATTAAAGAGAAATGCATGCTTTTAGAGTGTTCATTAGTTAGCGGCTTATCAACCGGGAATGCTTTTGGCAAGTTATACAACTATTTGCAACCGTTCATAATAAAGATTGTGCTAGAAACGTTTCGATGTTGACCCAGTGGTGTAACTTATCTGAGAGGGCAAACCTGTGGGTCTTTTAATCCGCAGATGTAGAAAAATATGGGCCACCTTTACTTCGAAACGTAATACTTCATTGACCCTGAATTATTTTTGGACCATGGCCACGCCCTAGATCGACCATTGCCACACCCTATATCGACCATTGCCACACTCTGGATCCTCTCCTCGTTCAACAAATTCATTAATATCTAGCTTACTGGACGTACGTACCGCGGCAAGGACGGCAATGGTCATATAACAAGAGGAATTGCATGCGCATATTCAGCCGTGTTATTATAGCTTTACCAGATGTTCGAAGACTTTTAATAGCAGTTTAAATGCGATCTCCATTGGCTGGTAACCAACATAATGGACAGGCTGTGCGTACTGTGGGTTAAACGAATAATAGTGAGCGATCTTACTAGAAAGGCTAGAACGATATCCACACATACTGGCTGTACGTGATGACAGGCAATAATATAGAGTACTGACAGTTCAAGCGTTAACGAGCAACGGATGTGCAAGTAGTAAATGAACTCACTGGAAACTGAATTAGATAATTCAGCTGTGTTGTCTTTCAATGGACTCTTAAGAGCTTAGACACGCAATTATTATACCTGAACGTTTTAAATTCTGGATTTTCTTATTTTGTTTCTTATTAAACTTAAGGTACTTTACTAGTATACTCTTTACTCCGGATAGTTGATGACACATGGGGAAAGCCTGAAGGTATTATATCTGCCCCTCTCCCCTCTCCACTACCCTCCACTCTCTCTCTCTCTCTCTCTCTCTCCGTTAAAAAAGCGACAGGTCTTGACGGTATACCATCTCATTTCATCAAGATTGCTTCACCAGTAATAAGTCAATCACTAGTGAAGCTATTCAATCAATCAGTTGATAAAGGGATTTTTCCTAACGGCTTGAAACTTGC